CTCAACAGTTGCCCACAAATTTTTTTCTCTTCCTCTTGATTGGAGTCACCATTTGTCCACAGCTTTAAGCTGATCACAGTTTTGTGAGCCTCTAAGGTAATGTGGTAGAATTTGCTGACATTGAATCGAGCAGAATTTGCAAACAGGGTGGGTTCTATGAAGATGCCACACAGCTGTGAGGTCCACTCCCAGAAAAGTGAAATCAGCCTACAAAATAGACCAGCTGGAACATAGTTGGTGTTAAAAGTGAGGTAGACTGGTAAAGGGCCATTTTCCATGTACTTGCTTCTTTTGTCGTTCATTGGGAGTGTCAGCATACAGGGTACAAAGTAAGGGAAGTCTCTCCCTTTACAGCCTCTAGAGTTGCAGATTAGATTAAACTTTTCCATCAATTCAAGTAAATTCTTCCTTGTTCTCTCCAATTTCAAGTTTTTAAATGATTGATTGAGCAATACGTTGGAAAGAAATCCTGTATTCCCAAGGACCCGGTAATGTTTCTTGATAGAAGGTCTTGCTTCCCAAGTTGGATACACTGTTATTATCTTACTGAGTACATCGATCAACCATTGTGGATCCAGTACTACCAAACCATCTGGATTTTCAGGGTGATCATGATAGATAACTGTTCCACGAGATCGTAAAAAGTGAAGAAGTCCTTCTACGTCATCTTGGACATCAAAATGGCAAAGGGCGTCTGCAACTTCCTTTTGAAAACGCTTTTTAGGAAGGTAATGCTCCTTCTTTTCTACCATTTCAAAGATTTTCTCTTCGACATAGTGCCACAGCAAAGGAATTTCGTTCTTTGTGTGTGGCATCTTTTCAGCCAGTTCCAATATTCTCTGACGCATAGAAACTATCTCTTGGTCCTCTTGCTGAACTGGACAACCAGCTTTTGTGTTATCAATGACAAATTTGGCATGGATATGATCTACGATTTCATGTGGGGCCATATCAGAAATCTTGTCAAGCACTGCGTCCATTACTTTGGTAGGATCACGCCCCGAATTCCTTATAATATCAGCATGTGTACCCACAAGTATGACTGGAGGAAAAGCACCTTCTGTTGTCCGTCCGAGTTTCTTTGCAGTTGACAAGCAATGTACCAAGTCCAGCCATTTCAAAATGTGATCAAGGTTAGTATCCTCCGTGTCTGGTGATGTTACTTCTACCTCTGCATGATCACGAGGCTGTACACGACACTGTGCTGGGGTAGTCAACTCTCTTGTCAGATCCAACGCTAACACATATATGGCTTCTTGAGATAGGAAAATAGGATGAATGGCATGATATACTGCTTGGCCAGCAAAATCCCAAATTATAGGCCATATGCCGTCATCTTTGTCCGGATTCTTTCTTCGTAAGAGAGAGGCAACTTTCACTGGTATCTGCTCCTGGTTCTGTTTTCTTATGTCACCCTCGACAGCTACAAAAAAAAAAACAACTTGCAAGTTCTTGCTCAAGCAGCCTTTACCTCACAATTATATGTACAATTATACAATTATATGAAATCTCGCCTCTGGTTGTCGACTCTTTAAAGAAATTGGTCAGCCTTCATGGAGGGCTACTCGACGTAACTAAAAACATATCGTGTTCACATCGTCTGCATACCATCAAGATTCTGAGTACTGCAACATCTTTCACGGGAATTAGAGCAATCTGAAATCCTCTGCAGAAACACTTATACTTGTATGTCATTTGAAACATCTTAAGTCGGCTGATCTACACGAAACTATCTCGTCACCGGTCATTTGTCATAAATGTGTACGTCATCACGATGGTGTGACGCTGTACTGTACAAACTATTGCAGTAGATGGCAAAGCACTTAACATTCTCGTTGGCAACTATTTCAACTAAGATAAATTGGTTATATCAGCTAAGTTGGAAATGTAAATTGGCCACCGTAAAGCGTTAGAAAGCTGACGTTTCGAGCGTTAGCTCGAAATGTCAGCTTTTTAATTGTTTACGGTGGCCAATTTATAATTTCAACTTAGTCGATGTGACCAAACTACCTTGTTACCCCAATGACACCGCACCACAGTTTCTTAATAGCCTCTGACTGTACATATCGAGAATCTGCCGACAGTTGCAAAATTTCGTAATTCATTTCATGTTTTCTAAAGGACCCTTTTAATGAACCTTTATCGAAAATCATAACAAAAAGTTATATCGCGCTTTTTTTCTCCGAAAAATCGAAAAGTTCAAAATACGCCTAAATGGCAATTGTCCCCCCAGTAAAGCCATAAAAAATTATGCAACTTCGGCAACTTCGTATGCTACAACGCGATGCAATCCCGCTTTTAAATTTTGTGTGCTAATAGATGGTCCTTTTATCTCTTAGAAATTATTAATTTCTTGTTATGTTGTTACGTTTGAGTCTCAATAGTGACCCGTTGAAATAAAGTACTTCGCGTCTCTTTCGCGGTGGTAAAATAAAGGTCAAATTTAGTGGGCCACAAACAGGTCTGCCTTATATACTTAAAAAATCATAATGTACATCCTCTTAAAGTTTTATCCTTGTATTTTCATTCCTCCAAGTCTCTATTTTTGCCCGCCATAAGTGGCACATCCAGGTTGAAAAAAGAGTTTGGGCTATTTTGTCAAAATTGCAACCGCTGAATAGCTGTCGCGGCCCATTTAAAGGCCTTTAAAAAGGTCTTGTATGATATATTTACAGTCCAAAATATATGTCATCTTAAAGTGTTATCCTTTCGTAGTTTAATTCCTCGAAGTTTCTTTCTTGGCGCGCCATACGCAGCGCGTACAGCCTTCAAAGAGTTCCACAGGCGTCCCAAGTTCACGTCTCCAGCAAAAGCGAAGGATTATTTCTTCAAAGCGTCACGAGTTGTGTGAGCGGTGTTGTTACGCGAGCAACCGTTGAGAATTTGAATGCGTTATAAGGAAGAGTATAAGAAATAAAATATGGTCCAGTTAAAACACTAAATATTCCGAAATGTGAATATTTTACACCTTAGATCAGTAAAACTTACTCATTCCTTGTGTATTCGCCGTGTTTTTTGGCGATTTCTGCCGTTTTGAGCTTCCTTTGCCTTTACTATTTTTCCTGTTATCAGACGAAGTCAAGGCTGCACACTACGATTTCCACCGCTGTCCACGTGGAGGCGGTTTGCGCCTAGAAAATCCATCTATTTGGCAATTTTTAATTTCTTTCATTTTTTTTTCTTTTAATTTTTAATTTCTTTAAGAAGAGAAAACCAGGATTAAAAAAAAACCAATTAAATCAAGTGAAATCGGTAAAATAACGACACCAGGAGCAAGCAATACACGTATGGAATAAGGTAAGCCTTTTTTTATTTAATATTTTCACTTTTAACTATCTCTATGGCTATCTTGTAGAAAATCCCATACAAATCCTTATAAATCGATATGCAAATTGTGTTCCTTGTGTGGAATGGAACAGTCCACCCTGCAGTTAAACGTTAATTCTACTGAACTTGAACAAGTGAACTCGCATAAACTATTAGGTGTCACGATTGACAGCCAGCTTACTTTCGACCAACATGTCGAAAATCTATGCACGAAGTTATCGCAGAGAATTGCCGTGCTGCGAAAAATAAGACGCTTTTTGCCCATTGATCAAAGGAAACTTTATTATAATGCTATGATCAAGCAGACAATGCTTTATGCATCAACCATATGGACATCTTGTTCTGCTGAGAATTTGCAGAAAGTCTTTAAACTTCAGAAACGCGCGGCACGTGTAATTCTCGGAGCTGACACTAAAGCGAATAGCGTACAACTGTTTAGGAAATTGGATTGGGTTCCATTCTTTCATGAGGCAAAAGTAAATAGGTCACTAATGGTGTACAAACGATTGTCTGGGGACTGTCCACCTTATATGTCCCAAATGCTCGTAAGAAATGCAGACATAAATGAAAGATCAAGCAGACATGGACAACTAAACCTCGTCTGTCCCCGATTCAAACGGGAGTCAGAGGGAGGTAGGTCTTTCACAGTATCGACCTCACGCCTCTGGAATACCTTACCACTGGACATAAGAATGAAACCTACTATCAAATGTTTTAAGAAGCCCATGTTAGATTTTTTAAGAATAGTTATAAACGATTAGAACATTTTATCTTATAGTTTTTATAAACTTTGTAATTTTAGATTTTTAGCTCTTGATCTTTTTCCATAATTAATTAGTTTTTAATCTTTTTCAATAATTATTTGTAATATATATTAAGAGGGCCACTGGTTTGTCAGTTTTATACTGTTATGTGTTTTACCCTCTTTAAATAAAGTTTATTATTATTATTATTATTATTATTATATCCACAATTATCGAACAGGAATATATCGTTTTTCTTTCGCCTCTTTGGCTCTTCCATCAATAATGGCTCCCTGGGAGGGCTGAACGGGAAAATGTTCTCACGAAGCTCTCATTCATGAAAAACAGACCAGATTAACTCTGATTACTGTGCTTCGTTCTGACGTCATTAATTAACTTTAGCCATAGAGTTCCCGGTCCGGCCCTCCCATCAGCTTGTTGTAATCTCTACTTACTTTCAGTGTCAACTATAGGTGTGAGCCCATCACCCCTTGGTTTTTCTGTTCCTGACTCTTTCTTTGGAGAGTCATCTTCACCTCTGAGCTGTCGAGCAGAATGTGATTTTTCTGGAGAGCTTCTTGATAACTCCTTGTTGATCAGCTCTGCACATTTGTGATCAAAGGCACTAGTGGATTCAAAAGAAGCAGGATTTTTCCATGCTTGCTTTGCTGCATTCTTAACAGCTGGCATCATTTCCACTCCACTGGTGCTTGTTTCATCTCGATCGAATTTTACACCTTGGAGATGTTTTCGAAGACTTGTTTTACCAACACGATCCTGACCAATCAATAAAATCTTTGTTCGCTTGTCATAGGTCTTGCCAAATTTTAATCCTCTTTGGTATGCGTTGAGTACTGAAGGTCCTCCATGGAGAACATACCAGGGGATCCCACCTGTAACTAAATCTGTAAAATAAGTCAAACCTACACGTAGCTACCAGGTCTGCCAAAAGAGGCATTTAAAAATCATTGGCTATAACATGCTATCTTGGGTGGGAGCCCTGTGAACTATATATTTTGACTTAAAAGTGAAAAAGCCCAGTGAAGGCTTGAAATCAATTTTGTGGTATGATCGTCGGGATGACACCTACTCATAAAAAGAAATCCAAAAACGCAGACTCACAAATATTCCAAGAATTCGAAATGGCGGATTCATAAAACTTGATCAAACTTGTTTTTCAAATATGGAGAGTCCCGAAAGAAAAACACTTAAAATCACGAGTATAAAGTATGAGTATGGAGAACACCAAATTACTTAAAGAACAATCACATAGAAAATATGGAAAAAAAATATATCTACATATAATATAGATATGAATACAACGAAATTACAGAATCTGACAAAAGACCAACTCATTGAGATAATAATGAATTTGAGACCTGTTCAAAGAATTAACCCAAAACATTGGACAGGAAAATCAAATTTGCTCCATCGTTCAATAGTGTTAAACAGATAGTTCAAGCTTATGAAGAAAACATTATTGAACCACCTCTAGAGTTTCGAGATGATTATAAACCAGTGCTAAAACCAAGGACGAAGAAGCCTGTTCCTCTACCAAGAACAATAATTGATGACACAAACAAGGCTTTAAAAGGATACACTAAATCATATGAAATAAACATAAAAAATGACGAATGTCCATTAATTCAATGCAGAGCACAAGATTGGCTGATGGTCAATATAGGAAAAAGATATTGAATGAAATCAAAGGCCTTAAATTTGTAGAGACATTAAAGGTTACTTTTCACAAGTAGGAAGATGAGGGTGATAAAAAAGTACTGATTAAAAAACACAGCATATTTTAAAAGCTCACCTCAGACAATAATAAATGACACAGAACTAGCAGACTCTTTATGATTAACAGAGCAACATATATTAAATAAAATAGCGCAAGGTCGTCAGAAGGATCTGGCTGGCATATTCGATCAGTTGATAATCACTACCTAAATACTGTTCTATATAATCCATCAAAGGTTCTTCTTATATTCAACTTCCATCAGAACTGAGGAATGGTAAAAAAAGATTGATAAATATGAAAACTAATGATAATGAAAGCTTTCGTTGGTGTCATAGTAGACACTTGAATCCACAAGAGAAGGATCCTCAAATTAGTTTTAAAAAGTTGATAAAGCTTTTATTGAACCGATTGGATTATTCAGGAATTGAATTTCAGGTAACTATTCAGCAAATCAATAAGATTGAAAAGCAAACTAACATTAACATCAATGTTTCGGCAATGACGATAAACAAAGGTATCCAAGATATGTCAGCAAGGAGAAAAATGAAGATCAGATGAATCTTTTTTTAGTAACAGAAGAGAAAAACTCACATTATGTGTTCAAATAAAATATTTCAATAGCTTCATGTATAATCAAACAAAACATAAGGAGAGAAAGCACTTTTGTATGTATTGTTTGCAGTGTTTCAGTTCTGAAAAGGTAATAATTACTCATAAAGATAATTGTCTCATAATAAATGGAGCTTAAGCTATTAAGATGCCAACTAAAGATGACAACATATTGAAATTCAATCATTATTAAAAGCAACTTCCTGTTCCATTTATTATTTCCGCTGATTTTGAAGCAATAACAGAAAATGTACAAGGTTGTCAACCAGCTGATGATGAATCTTTCATTGAAGCTTATCAAAAACATACTGACTGTGGTTATGGCTATAACTGGTTGTTTGCACTTATGATAATAAATATACAAAACCTATTAACATCTATCGTGGTGAGAAAGCTGTTTACAGATTCATGGAACTGATGCTTGAAGAAGTGAAACATTGTAAAAAGATTATTAAATGTAAATTTAACAAACCCCTGAAAATGGCAAAAAAAGATGAACAATTCCAAAAAGCTGATAAATGTCACATTTGTGAACAGAAATATAATGACCAAGACGTTCAAGTCAGAGATCACTGTCATGTGACTGGAAAATTCAGGGGTTCAGCTCATGAGGATTGTTACCTTAACTTTCAAATGACTGACAAAATACCTGTGATCTTTTATAATTTGAGAGGATATAATTCATATTTCATCATGCAAGAAATTGGAGAGATTGTTAAAATCAATAAATACACAAACAAAAAAGGAGAAGTGTCCAATGAATATCAATGCAATCCCAACTAACATGGAAAAGTATATGGCTTTCATACTTGGGAATCATCTTACTTTCATTGATAGCTTTCAATTCATGAGCTCGAGTCTTGATAAACTAGTCAATAATCTTCCCAAAGAAGCTTTTAAATATACATCACAAAAATTTAAGAATAAAAAATTGGATCTTATGACTCAGAAAGGCGTTTATCCTTACGATTACATGGACAACTTTGATAAATTTGATAAAACAGAATTGCCAACCAAAAGCGAATTTTATAGCATATTGAATAATGATCATATCTCAGTTGATGAATATAAACATCAGAGAAAGACTTTTTCAAACTGATGAATAATTCTGTATTTGGAAAGACGATGGAAAACTCAAGAAAGCGTGTGGATGTAGACTTGTCACTGATGAGAAAAAGCTGTTGAAATTAACATCAAAACCAACCTTTATATCAAGTAAAATGTTCAATGAAAATCTAGTCGCTGTTCATAAGATAAAAGAACATGAACTCTAAATCAACCAGCGTATGCTGGGATGTGTATTCTTGATCTTTCAAAGACACTGATGTATGATTTCCATTACAATTATATCAAGAAGTACGGAGACAAATCCAAGTTGTTATTCACAGAGGCCGATTCATTAACATATGACAATCAAGCAGATGATGTGTACCAAGACTTTTTGAATGATAAAGATATGTTTAACAACAGTGATTATCCCAAACATTCAAAATATTATGACGAATCGAACAAAAAAGTTATTGGTAAATTTAAAGATGAAACTTGTGGAACACCTATAGTTGAATTCGCTGGTTTGCGATCAAAGATGTACAGCTATACCAAAGATGATATTAAAGGTAGTCGTACAGCAAAAGGTATTAAAAAGAATGTGATAAAAAAGATCTAAAACATGAAAATTACAAAGTGGTTTTATTTGAAAACAAAAAATGTATCACGAGACGAAAACCATACGAAGTAACAAACATCACTTTGGAAGTTATGAGCTGAAAAAAGTGTTATTAAGCTGCTTTGATGACAAAAGATATATTCTAGAGGATGGAATGACCAGTTACGCATATGGACATTATTAAACAATTTGTTATTTAGTCTTTTTCTTTGCTTTGGAATTTCATTTTTTTTCTTTACTTTTGACTAGATTATTTAAAGATAGAATATGTAGTATTCATATATGGACATTTAAACATTAATGGAAACCGTAGAAACATATGATGGGAAAGATTTTTATGTTATAAAAGCGAATGTAGAATTGATTGCTGAGATACAACCATCTCCTAATTTCTTTGTTTTAGTACCAAAAGTTTCTTTTATTAAAAATATGTTTAAAACTTCTGATAAAAAAGATAGGTTAATTGTAAGAAATTAAGACAAAGATAAAAAGGATTTGTTTGATTATTTATCAGCATTGAAAGACATTTACATTTTCCTTTTAGTTGAAAACGATAATTTTAAAAAAACCTGATATTATTAGATATTCCGATTTCACGAAAGAAACCAAGAAGAAAAAGATATAGGCAAAATATAGTATATATGATTTTATATAATGAGTGAATGCGATCTTATGATGTCTATTTTTGAACATTATAAAAACAATGATAGAATTCTTATTGTTCATACTTTTGGTGAACTTCTAGGTCGCACTAAAAATGCAAAAAGTTTACCATAAAGGAATCATTGATCTTATCATTATTATAAACAATGAAAAGGTCATTTATTGTGAATTAAAGAAGCCGGGACGAAAAATTGTATTGAGGCCAGAACAAGAACTTTTCAGGCAAAGTGTTAAAAAAAAAGGTGCCAATTATCTTGTCAGCAATAATTTACACCAAATAGCTGATTTTATTGATTATCATATATTGAAAATGAATTAGCTTAAAGAGCTTGTAAATCCTTGAGAGAAACCCAGCTGTTAATTAAAATCATCATCATAACCCTTCCATTTAACCAGAGCTTGTTTATTCTTATAATCTCTCTTTATTACTTTATCAATTCTGAATATTTCTTGTTTAGCTCTTAATAATTCAGGCTCATAAAAACTGCCTCTAATTTCTTCGTTGTTTAAATCTCGTAATCGGTAGGTGGTTGGATTCGTGTATTGTATTTTATCAATAGTAAATATCTCTTCTGTCCAATTTGGAGTAGAGCCTTTATCGAACAACTGTCTTTTGTATTTTGATATTCGAACCTTATCACCGACTTCATATTTCGGTTTTTGTTTTGATGTATTGATATCACCATACAGACTGAAATAGACTATTTCTTAATTTGACTTTCTGGAGGCTTTGATAGGTGTCATTATTATTGAATTGTATAGAAAAATTCACTGCCTGACGAGTGAATTCCACGTTAAATTTCACACGAAAAACCGATATCGCACGAATCGCGAAGCGATGAGTGCGATATCGGTTTTTCAAGTAAAATTTAACGTGGAATTCACTCGTCAGGCAGTGAATTTTTCTTGAATCGCATGACTGAAAAAAAAAAGGAAAAAAAGAAATTAAAACGGCAATACTATTGTTTGTTTTTATCCCATACGCGCGCCCTAGAAAGCAATTTTAAAGTCAACTGTCAGAACTGTCATTGTTAAGGGAATAGAAAGCAAGGTAAGTCGCTCACGTTTGAACCTTCGACAATTTTATTTGTACATCGTGAATTTTTCTTCAATCGCATAGCTAAAGCCACCAAATCACTGGGCGAAACCAGATGTTTTGTATTTTTGTGCGCCACGCCAGTGCGCAGACAATGGAAACCCTTTCAAAGTCCGGTGTCAATATCTAGCGAATAGAGGGAAAAAGATATTTTTAGAATGATAACCACTTTTATTTCAAACTCGTGGAGAAAGCAGTGCCTCACATTTTACAGTCTTCAGCAAGAAAAAGCTGAAGGTACAAAATACGGAGTTGTTTAATACAGAGATTTGCCTGCTACCACTCAACTTGGCAAAATGTGGCACCGACAATCAACAATTGTGTAACGGCTGCCACGCCTTTTGCCTACTGTTAAGAAGACGTTAACAAACTTGTGCGCGCACGACTCGCGTGCTTTGAGATTACGAAGCAATTTCGTAAGCAAATCACGCGGATCCTTTTTAATGTTGACGTGTGTGATTTTTAGAGAAGAGTTGTTGAAGTTTTCTAGTTTATCGTTTAGCGATTTGTTTAATGGTTGTTGTCGTTTACCGTAAGACTACGGTTTTCTGTGTTAGAGTAAAAGTGTCTGTTTGGATTTCCCGTTTCGCTTCCGAATGGCTACCTTATATTGAAGTTCGTTTTGGTTCAATTCTTACAAGCGGAACTGTTATGCAAGTGCTAATTTTCCTTTCCTTGAGCTTATATATAGTTCTTTTGTGAGTTTGTTTGAGTTTTTAGCTACCTTTGCATCTTGCCTTTATATCGGAATGTTTGGAATGTTGGTTTGTCTATTCGCATTTAGCTCAGCTTCTTCCTTATCAATTCATATTTCAGTTTACGATAAGTACTTGGATACCACGACTACGTTAAATAAAACGATTCAAGGCTTGTCCGTAAAATGTATCCTCGCTTCATAGTGTGTCTTCATTTGCGAAACTCATAGTTGTCGTCGAAATTTTGCTTCGCTTGTGTCGGCCGCTACAAATTGAATGGTCAAATCCTCAAGCGAAATGAAAATTTCAAGCGTTCCGGTATCAGAGCAAGATTTAAAAAAAAAAAGGTAAGTGCTTTACAGTTATAGAAAAAGTGTATTCAAAATATAAAGATTAAGAGTGGAATTTCTCGGTAAACTCTGACGAAAAACAGTTAAAAAGGTTAAAAGTCATAATTTTAACAGTTTTTCTTTCATTGCAGGGAGTCACTCGTTAGTGTCATGCTGGACTCAAAATTTATGGAAATATTAACTGGATTCATCACTGGGTCACTTTGCTGAGCGGTGTCTATGTTACTCTGCATTTGTAGTAAGTCATGCATGATACTTACCGCTGCATAAACGAAGAATAGGACAATGAGAAATATACGAACGTCCTTTACTCGACCTTTACATTCTGTGATTTATCTTATTTACTAGATATCCTGTTCCATTTTTCAGATCATGTTGATCCCATGTCCATCACGTAATTGTTGATCAATTGTCTGCTGCAAATCTTTAACATGAAGACAGTCTTGATCTTGATACAGAGCACCTATCCAAGATGACATGTTAATCTAGTGATCTCTTACCGCCCCTTTTTTAATAAACACAGATCGATGAAGTAGTGCATGGCCCAACGTTCACTTCAATAAGAATGTCCAACTTCGGTGAGCCGATGTTTTTCTGTTATTATTGCTTTTGGTATTGCTGCCGATGCAAAGTACCATCAGAGAAGCTTTAAAACCCTAGTGTTGAATTTTAGCGTGGTGTTTTAAACTACTTTGTCTACAAACTTCTTCAACAAAAGGTTAACTTTATCTATGTCATAGCGCACGCACAAGTCCTACCTTTTTCCTTAGAAGCTATCTTTCCGTTCTATTCCAATTGAGATAGACCTTTTGGAGCTCAAAGACAATATGCTGAGTGATACTCGTTCAGAGAAACAACGAGCATGTAGTTCTTTCAGTGACGAAATTAATTTAAGGGTTGTCGATACTTCATTCCCAAACGCAATATGAGTTGTGGCTGAAAACAAATGAACCGAGTTTTCTGACTTTAATTGAGGCTTTGCGACGATGGTTACTCTTCGTTAGAACGAAAATATCATTTTGAAGTGTTGATATGTCCCAAAAGTGTTATTTTAATGGAAGAGTCTCATTATAAATCGTACAATTTTCAGAATTATACGCATTTTTCTGGTCGTAAATTATAGTAAACAATTCACGCCAGGTAAATCTACCACACTGGGCTCGTAAATACAACAGATTCTTAAATTTTTTGGCTTTATTCTTTAAACGGTTGACATTATTTTTAACTGTTAATGTCATCAAAAATGTTGTTAAATATAAGATTTTAAAGTACTTTTAAAACCGACTTTTCAAAATTTTCAACATAAAACTACGGAATTTTCGGCCGTTAATTCTAATTCAGGACAGTTCAAGCATGCTGAGTCTACAACGCGGTCTCAATTAGGCAAGAAATTCATTCGCTTCTTGCTTCTGAGCAGAAAATTAACAATTCTTCGACTTCACAATTGGTCTCGAGATAGCTCTTGGTAATTTTTGCCCTAATAATAAGTAAGAGAGAAGATACGGTATCACTGTCAGGCGTAAGGGGAGCATTCCCTCGTATCAATAAATGGTCCACTGTCTCACAACAAATTGTCAAAACAAATGTCCTTTTGTTACTAGTGCAGAGGGACTTTTGCCGAAGCTAGGCGGAAAAGTGTGTATGTAATCGAGAAAATATTCGGAGTGACAATTTCGCTGCATTGGGGGAGTTGACAGTGTAAATACGCGCTGGTAGGATTGATCTTCGTGGGAAAGACTTGACTCTAGAGAAGCGCGACGAAGTTCGCAAGTTAAAAAGAATTCAAGAAATCCGTATCATAGTGAGTCATATAAACCACTGGTTTATGCAGAGAGATTTGAACCCTCACTACATACAAGTCAGTCAATAGAAGAAATAAATGAAGCACCTTAAGTAAGTAAATCACCTCAAGTCAAAAAAGGATCCCAAGTATGTAAAACATCTTGATTAGGAAAGTACCCGTAGAAAGTAAAGCACCCCAAGGAAGTCGAGCCCCTCAAGTAAATAAAGCAACTTAAGTAACTAAAGCAGCTCAAGTGAAGCATCTCGGGTAAGTAAAACACCTTGAGTAAGTGAGCATCTCAAGTAAGGAAAGCATTTCAAATAAATAAAGCAGCTCAAGTAATAAAAAACATCTTAAGTAGCTTAGAAAAGCATATCAAGGAATTCAAATCAATGAAGAAGCTCAAGTAATAAAGCATCAAGCAAGTAAAGCACTTCGAGTAAAGAAATTACATAGCCAAGAAGGAAGGAATTCACCTACCTAGACTGTCGTAAGTGGCGGCAACATCAACATGTTCAGGTCCAAGCTTTTTCAGACGAAACGCCAGGGCACGCTCATACAGATTGTTGGAAGTGGCTGCAAGATCAAGATGTTCAGGTCCAAGCTTTTTCAGACGAATCTCCAGGGCGCGATAATGGAAGTCTCTTGCTCGATCTATTTCACCCAACTTCTCGTATATAATACCCAGATTCCTGTAACTGGCTGCAACATCAACATGTCCAGGGCCAAGCTTTTTCAGAAGAATGTCCAGGGCACGCTCATACCATTCTTTTGCTGGATCTATTTCACCCAGCTTCTCGCATATAATACCCAGATTGTTGTAAGTGGCTGCAACATCAACATGTTCAGGTCCAAGCTTTTTCAGACGAATCTCCAGGGCGCGATAATGGAAGTCTTTTGCTCGCTCTAGGTCACCCAGCTCCCAGTGTAAAATACCCAGATTGTTGTAAGAGGCTGCAACAGCAACATGTCCAGGGCCAAGCTTTTTCAGAAGAATGTCCAGGGCACGCTCATACCATTCTTTTGCTCGATCTATTTCACCCAGCTTCTCGCATATAATACCCAGATTTTTGTAAATGGCTGCAACATCAACATGTTCAGGTCCAAGCTTTTTCAGACGAATCTCCAAGGCGCGATAATGGAAGTCTTTTGCTCGCTCTAGGTCACCCAGCTCCCCGTGTAAATTACCCAGATGGCAGTAAGAGGCAGCATCATCAAGATGTTTAGGACCCTCAAATGCAGCGGCCATTTTCAATTAGTACCTGCAAAACAATCATAGTTTTGTTAGTTGGCAATCGGGTAGTCTTTGCAAACTAATGCTTCATGAAAACTTCTAACATAACTACAAATTCAAATTTATACATAAATATCTTTATAGTTAGATATAGCTCTTTGGCATACGAAGATCTGCTTTCATGTCCAAATTGAGGACTGCGGGATGAGTCATCACCGCTAGCACTGTGCATAGCTCACTAGGCTCTTCTAGTTTGAGCACTCTGGCGTGACTTAGACAATACCACAAGTGTGGGATCGTTTGGGGATCCATATCGGTTCTCCCCCATCCTAGCATCAGCACTGCACTGACGAGGCCCGGAAGGCCGAAACGGTACTGTCTGTCTTTTGAAAAGAAAATTTGCCCTGAGCGGTATTTGAACCCACGTCTCCCTGTTACTATTCAGGTGTGATGACCACTACACTATCAGGACAA